ATGCATATAAAAATTTACTCATTTAAAAAATTAATTATTTCATATAATTGAAGGAATCAATTACCAGAGGTTGCAGATTCTCCCATCTTGCAGAAATGGGTGCTTGGGTGAAATTTGACTTATGGATATATAATAAAATATCCAATTTATCCAAAATGTCCAAAGGAAATTCTCCTTAACCTTTGTAGTATTTCATCAGTAAATTCGTTGTGAGAGTAAATTATATTAGTGGAATTTTTACTGTTCTTAGGCACAAGCTCCTTCTTGACTTCTTTTTATGAATATACTGCCTTGCTAATGCAAGTTTCTTATGAAGCAAGTGGGTTTTATTTTATTTTTAATCACCAACCTCCAATAAGGGGTAAACACAGTGGAAGCAGCAGCAGCAGCAGGTATTTTGGTATGTTTCTCCCTTTCTTGTTGAGAAGGTCATGCTAGGGACCTAAGCTAAGTCTCTGAGTATGTTCCTCAAGCATTTGGCTGGGGTTAGACTCCTCCTGGTCTGTGACGTTTCTTCTTCTTCTTCTTCTTCTTCTTCTTCTTCTTCTTCTTCTTCGTATATTTTTATTACTTAAAACAGTTTTATATTTAAAGTATTTCAATTAAAAATATTTATATTTTTATCATGTTTTTTTCCCTTCCCCCAATTCCTTCCTCTCCCCTTCCCTATTCACCCAAATTTAAGATCTTCCTCAAAAACTAAACAAAAAACCAACTTCTAAAGAAAAGTCTGTGTTTGTCTCCTGCTCTCTGAGGGAGACGGTTCATGCGAGTGTTACATTCATTATGTGGGTACATTACCTCACATTTTACTTTCTAGTTATGCTTGTCACATGATCAACTTTTATTTTATCATAGTTTCAAAGCAAAATTGTATTGTTACATACATCAAACTGAATTAATTTCTTAACGGCTGTGAAACTTACTAATGTTATTTTACTATTTGTTTATAGATGCTACCATGTGTGCATGTCTGTGTGTGTGAGAGAGATAATAATATGTATCTATTTACATGTATATAAACTTTCATTCAGTGTACCCCTTAATGTCTCACTAAAGAATGAAAGGCAATTATAATATGTATCTCTACTCCTTGTAATACCTCTAGGCACAATGATGATTTTTGAAACTTCTTTGTGTAGGTAGCCCAGTATTGTGAAGCTTCTGAGTGGAGGTAGCCCAGTAAGGTGCAGCTTCTGAGGATAGATACCCCAATACTCTTACTGGAGAAGCTTATAATATAAGATCGTTTGACTGAGAAGTCAGTTTTTCCAAACGAGCTTCATTATAGCTTTGAATTACACAGTGTGGAAGAACACATCAGACTTACATAAAATCAAATTGGCTTCAGACTTATGTAGAGTGAAATTATCCTGTTTATGAGAACATATTTCTAGACCACATTGTCAGAATAAGTTCATACAGTGAAGGTTAAAATTCCAATTCCAAAAATTAATAATATTATATTTAGTGATTGATAGTAGTATTAGGCTCTTTATGCTTTAAATAGTGATAGTCAACTCTTTCTTATTATGGAAATTTGAACTTTTACTTTTTCCCCTAACACTTAAATTTTATCATTAAATATTTAAAACATTATTGCTCTGTTATAATTAGAAACATCTTATATTGAAAATAAATCATGCCATAGTTTTTTAGAGCTAGAAATGGCTTCTGTTTAATAGTTAGGATTTAAAGGCTGTTTTATTTAATTTCTTGCTTTTTAATATAGAATTTAAGATTACCTTTAGACACAGATGTCAGAAATGAGTTATGATGGGAATATTTTGGTGGTGGTGTTGTGAATGGGCTTCCATTTTCGGTGAAATTAGTGAATGATATGTATATTGAAACGTGTTGCGTTTTACTAATTTACTGTATAAGGACAACAATGGGACACAAATTTACAGGTGACAAATATGATTTCTTAAGCACTGGTATAAAAAACCCGTATTGTAACTTCATCAGGTTTTTTTTTTTTTTTTTTGTCTCAGTTACAGCAAAAATAAACCTTTCTGAAGTGTTTGCATCCAGTATACTCTCTTGGGAGAGCAGACCCTGATGAGTATATTTTAATCTGACAGTGGTTTTGTTTGATTTTTTGCTTTGTTTTGTTTATCAAGACAGGGTCTCATTGTGTAACAGCCTTACCTGTCCTGGAAATCTCTCTGTAGATCAGGCTGGCCTCAAACTCAAAGATATCCACCTGCCTCAGCCTCCCTGAGTGCTGGGATTAAAGACATGTGCCATCATTGTCTGGCCTGACAGAGGTTTTTTTTTTTTTTTTTTTTAATGACATTTTATCCATGTCCCTTGTTGGGTTTGGATATCCTCATTTAAATGTCTTCTCACTAAGAAAAAAATGCTCTGATGTTTAAAATCAAACCATATTTTTTATAATTCTGTCCTATTTTAATATTTGAGAGGTCTATACTTTTATGCTAAAAGTCTGCACATGCAGGAATATATTTCTTGAATTCTGCAGAGAATCTCTGGCAAATTGTATGCTGGTTAAACATGCCTTACCAAACAGTAACTATTTTATGAATAAAATGGAATGCCAGGATATTTGCAAATACACCAGCAGTATAGGACTAAGATCCTGGGTAACGGGGCCTTGCAGAAATTTGGGCATCAGAGTTCCTAACAGAGTGTATTTTTTTGTCAGACTTGGAATGTTTGATATACATAGGTATCTTGGCAAGAGATCTGAGGTCCAAACAGACATAACTCTATATAGTATTTCCAACATGTGCCCTGTTGGCTGCATGCTGTCTTGTATTGTTGTTGTGAAGTATTCTGCTTGTGGTGTTACATCAGTCCTAAAATCAGTTTAGATACTAGAAAATTTTTGAATTTGGTTTTCAGAATAAAGAATATTTAAACTCTTAAATGAGTTTAAATGAGTGAGGAAAGTTTGACAACCTGATAGGAAAATGGGCAAATAATGTTAACAAACATTTTCAGAAAGACCATTTAAATTTATCACAATGAACTTCACTCATAATTTTAAATACAGGTAAAAATACAAGACTTCACACTGATCATTCTATGTGAATATCTATATATTTAATAACAACAAAGAAGGGACGATCATGAATCTCTGCTGATAGTCTAGATATGAAATTTATTTTTCATTTTAAATGTATTCAGATAGACTTCTAAATGCGAGCATATGATCATGATTTCTTTAGAGACAGGCTAGGAGATTCTGCACATTTGCTAAAAGTGACTTAATTTTCACATTTGATCCTCATATTGTTTTGTCTTTCTTCACAATGGCATGAAGTCTATAACATTTAAAACAGGGTTGGAGAAATGGAACACAGAGTAATTTTAGTAAAAATCATGAGTTAATACTGCATGAACATCTCTTGTATATCACAAGGCCTGAGGGTATGCTGGGGACATAGTGTTGAGTAGAATATTGTCTCTTCTAGTCTCAAAAACCAATAGGATCATATCACTTTCTAAGTTAATAGATTCCATATGAATGGTTTTCCCTTTGTGGATTACAGAACAGTTTACATAGTTTAAATTAATTAATCTTCTCCAAGATCCTACAAAGTAATCATAGCACCATATTGCCTGAAGAGAAAGAAAAGCACGCTTACTCATTAAATGAGTTTTATCATTTAAAGCTCAGAGCAACCCTACAGAGTGGGGGCATTGCCATCTCCATTTTATGGATGACAGGGAAAATGCTAAGCTCTTTAAGATGCCTAACAACTTAAGAATGTAAGTCTCTCCACTCTCCCCAAATGGTTCTGTCTGAACCTTAGTCAGCAATTTGAGTTTTTTCCCCTTTTCAAGCGCACGATGTAAGATTCATAGGTTAAGTAATTAGTTTAGGATTATGCCTACGGCAGTATGCAGTTCACTGCCTCTGATTAGAGAAGAGAGCTCTGCAGAGAAGGACAGAGAAAGTCATTGTGATGGCACCCAGTCCTGATAAGCACGAGCCATGAATCCAGGGTTCATAACTTCGCCAGGCAAACAGCTACAGTAAAAAGAGCGTGCTTGCCTCTCTGAACTCATTTCCTCTATCCAGATAGTAACCAACTTACTTGTGATATCAAATCGATTCAATATGGATTCTTGAGTTCTGAGAAACTTTGAAGATTGTGGGACAAAAATCTGATGCTAATTTAAAGCCTGCCTCTACTTTGTCAATGGAGTGAGCCATTTAGATCAAGGGCTGTGCGCAACTTTTCTGCAGGATGATCCAAAAACAGCAGACAGAAGGCCTTACACTTCTTAACAGTCGCAAGTGTGTACATGCATGTCGTGCCATTCCTGTCACTCGCTGCTCCTTGGTTTGCAGACATCAGTGTTCGAGCACGTTGGTTTGTAGTCTAGTATGTTCCATAGAGGCCTCTTTTTGCTGCATGTACGAAACAAAAGCAGGGTAGTTTAAGATGGCAAGGTTTATGCGCCTTACCTCACATTGACACAGCTCTCAACTGAATGTTTGTGTTTAGTCTGACTTGGGGACATTGGCCTCGACGATGTGCCTTCCCTGTGTGGCAGACATTTGTGGGATTAAGAGCTCGAGTTGTTTCTCTTGCTGTGTGCAGAGCAGGTCGACACACGTATGCTGATGTGAAGCAGACAATGTGACCTGAACAGGATTGTTAAACCAGGAGGAGGCGTGGCTTAGTGGGTTAAGCAATACTTAACCTTGAGTTTTCCACACACGCTCTTCGTTCTCATTAACTTTAGTGACGAACTTTAAAAGAAATACAGGAACTCGCTATTGGCGAGAATTAGTCAACGCAGCATAGCTGAGTGAAATAAATAAGTGTTTGCGGAAGTGAGGGGTCCCTTGCTCACCCAGAGGGCTCCAGAGCCGTGTTCCCTCTCACCGAAGCCTGGCTCACAGGAAGAGCAGGGGATGACTTAGTATATCCTTCCCGTTCATTCCATAGAGTGACAGCGGGCAGGAGAGAAACGGAGGTGGCAGCACCTAACCAATGTCTTAAATTCCTTTTAACTTGCAGCAAATTCCGTAAAGCTAGAAATGCAGAGTGATGAAGAGTGTGACAGGAAACCCCTGAGCCGCGAAGATGAGATCAGGGGCCATGATGAGGGGAGCAGCCTAGAAGAACCCCTAATTGAGAGCAGCGAGGTGGCTGACAACAGGAAAGTCCAGGATCTTCAAGGCGAGGGAGGAATCCGGCTTCCGAATGGTAAACTGAAATGTGACGTCTGTGGCATGGTTTGCATTGGGCCCAATGTGCTTATGGTACATAAAAGGAGTCACACTGGTAAGCAGCTGAACGAATAACCTGATGACTGCCCGTGCATCTGATGTTGATATTACCTGACATCTACTCTCCTTTTTATTCAGGGGTGGCAATGTGAAGTTACCTTTTCAGAATTCTGCTAGTATTGGATTGCTGGGAAGCACAAAGTAGCCTGGGTCTTGACTTCCAGTCTTCCCATCTGAATAGCATGTCAGAAAAGAAGTTTGGGAATCAGTTTCCACAGTTCTTACTATAGCAATAATATGATAAGGGTTCAAAAGGTATAGGAGAATTTCATTGAGTAATTTAATCTTTTTATATTTCTATACGTATTTTACCATACCCATTGGGCAGGTAATATAGTTTGCTTCCTAGGACCTTATACTACAAATAGCATTCATACATTTATATAAGGATGGACTCTTTTCACTTTGGTTAACTCTGTTAAGTATTATTTCTGGTCAGTCTTGCCTATCAAAGGCCTCTGCAGCAGGGGTTATTTCTCTAGTTCAAGGAGGTTACTATCCTCTTGCAATTTTTAGTTTTATCTCTGTAAAAAGATGGTTAGGGTGGGTACGTAGGTAGAAATATTGAATTGTGGGATGAGGTGAGAAAAATGCCTGTGGATAATTTAATATATGCTTCTAGGCATTGAGAGCTACAAGTACTTCATAAAAACAGGCCAGATGAGGAGGGGAGAGTCTTATATAAATCTTCTCAAAGCTTTTGATTGAGGGAAGTAGGAAAAAAATGACAAGAGGCAAGGACGGGAAGAGTGGGTAAACGCAACACAATGAGGTTGTGTCTGTGTGTTTAAATGGATAACAGTTAATCTTTTATGACGTTTCAAGTTGAGCAGTGCATGGTGGCATGCACCTGTGATTCCAGTGTTCGCAGTTAGAGGCAGGTGGAACACAAGTTCAAGGTCATCCTAAAATAAAGTTTGAGGCCATCCTGTGCTACATGAGACTGTCCCCAAACCAAACAACAACAAAATTTTTCAAGTTAGGATTGGTGGCACACACTTTAACCCCAGCACTTGGGAGACAGAGGAAGGAGGATCTCTGTGAATTTAAAACCAACCTGGTGGTGTACATATTGAGTTTCAGGATAGTCAGGGCTGTATAGTGAGATCCTTTCTAATAAAGAAAGAAAAAAATAAAGGAATGTATCTTTCAATAAAATATGGTGGGATTCTCTAGTAAAATATTAATAATTAATATTCTAGGTTGTAAACTGCGATGGTCTTTGGAAAGAATGAGAAATCACAGGAAAGTAATTTATTTTAAAATTTTAATTCTAAATCATCAGTTTAAAATTTTTATCCTAAAAAATATGCTGTAATTACATACTAAAACATTTTTAGTTTAGATCTCTCATGACACACATTGAGGAAAGTCAAGTTGTCTGACTTGTGTCCCTTACCTAGAAAAAAATCACCAGCGAGACTAGAACCATGGTACTGTGATTTCTAGGCTAGTGTGGTGTGAGCACACACGCTTGGACTATCCCTACACCAACAACTTATTATAAAGTGTCCCTAGAAACTAACTAAAAACTGGCCCAGCAGAATTTTCACATTCAGATGAAGGTAATCATATCATCACCTTCCCATCTATTAATTTTCTATCATAACTAGTATTTTTGCTTTGTTATGAATATTTTTAAAAACAACATTATGTTTAAAATGTTTATGTCACTAATGAATTTTTCCTTTAATATTTTAAAAGTCTTGGGGAAAGTTAAGAAATACCAAACTTTGGTTCCTCTTCAATAAGAAAGTAAAAGACAAGACTGCAAAATTAATCTACTTTTATTCCCTGCCTAGGAAATAATACTGGTTTGGAATAGGAGTCTACAAAACTCCCCATTTATTATGTTATGTTAGAGTGAGTATTCTGAAGAACATAACACCCATTTAATTTTCCTTTGCAATATTAAAACAGTTCAGTTACTTTGTAGTATTTGAATTTTACTTACTGATATATTTAAGACTGAAGTCTATACTAAGTACTAGTTTGGGAAGATCTTTAATAAATTTTTTGTGTTCTTATTTAAGAGAATTCAAAGAACACAAGAACTGTTTTTTGAAGATGAAGTTTTAATTTGTAATTTATTGTATCTGTTGTGAAATTCACTGGTTTTTTTCAAAATAAAATAGTTAAACACATACTCCACTTTCCATTCCATATTTGTTACAAAAGTGGAATAGAATTATTTGAACATTGAAAATGATGTAACTTGTATAGGACTTGATTATAAATTATTCCACAGATTTGTACAGGTCCTAGAATATGAGGCTCACTAATTAGGACATGGATAAAATTACTAAGCAACCATTTGAAGTTCACTCAAGAGCACAAACTCCTTTGCCTTACTGACCTATTTTGAACACTAGAATTCCTTCTTCAGATTTGGGAGACTTTTGTTAATTTCAATAGATAGTCATAGAGAAACTTAGGATTCTGGGATGCTCTGTTAGAGCTGTCCTCTTAAAATAGGCCTTAACTATAGATTTCTGATGACTGAGTTGATCCCAATTGATTGTCATGTTCTCACTTCTACTGTAATACTGTTTGGTGACAGGCTTCTTTGGGTTTCTTTAAACTAACTGTAGAGCTGTGTAGTCCGAATCTAGTCTTTAACCAAGTGTATTAGGAAATACTGCCTTCATTTTAGTGCTGCCCACCTTTAAAACATTTTATGTGTAGCTAAACAAAAGCCACTCTCTTAAATCCTTGGTGATGCCCTGATGAAGCTCATAAATGATCTAATATACAATTGACAGTGAAGAGAAAGAATAAAACCACCGAATTTTTTCCAATTACATGGCATCTCAGATCTAATGCATCTTTCTTCGATCTCTCCTGTTCTCTACTAAAGTGCCAGTTCCAGTGTCTTTAATCGCTTGCTCTTACTTCTTTGGCATTGTTACTTTAATAAATAATCAGGTAATATTTTCATCAGATACTCCAGGCACTCTTCACTGAGAATGTAGGGTACAGAACAATAAATAAGTAAGCAAGCCAATAAATAAATGAATAAATAAGGGTAGTGACTTAGTTCACACATGGATATGAATGTGTGATGAAATTATAAATACAGACAATCCTTAAGTTTGATCCTTTTGGGGATATAGCTCTCCTGTCTTTGCAAACTGTGGCATTTTCTCTTCACTCTTGTGTTCCAAGGTTCTGTTCTGTTCAGTCGACAGTAAATCGGTGGGCTGGCATTAAAGACCACTACCAGCTTAGCATGAAGGAGCACACATGTGATGCATGGATACAAAGCAAGAAAGAGCAGGGGTTTGAGACCAGTCTCTCTTACAGAACAAGTTCAAGGCCAGCTGAGCTTCGCAACACCTTACATCTAAAAGTCATGACACACAAGCACTCATAATCAACTTTAAAAAAAAATAGATGCGTACTGTGACATCTCAGGTAGTTTTCTTTACTGTTAGTCCAGTCTTCTGTAGCCACCAATGGGAAGATCAGTTGTCACCAATACAATAACCTACTTTGGTTTTGAACCAGATTGTTCTGCAATATTAGCGCTGTGAGCAAGGAATCTGTTGGGATTTTCAAACTTTTGTTTCCATTTGTATATGAAGAATATAATACTTTATATAAAATATAAACTGACTCGAAAAGAACCAACTGACTCTCCATTTGGTTTATAGAACAAATTAAAATAATTATGCATTGTTTAAGGCCCTTATGACAATATATCATTGTTTTGCATTTATATAGAGAAAAAGTAGGTAATTTTTTTACCTAAATTTAAGATAATTCTACCTGTATTTCCATAATGCTTAGCCTGGGGCATATCCTACAGTATCGAATATCAGGATTCCTAACATTTTATAGAATTTTTAAAATTATTTGATTAATTTTTTATTAATTAACTATGAAGATAGATAGATAGATAGATGATAGATAGATAGATAGATAGATAGATAGATAGATAGATATGTAGTGTATTAAGTAGTCCTAATCTTTAATCATGCATACAAAGAACAGTTAATCTGCTTTATCCTCTAATAGTGGTGTTATTGAGAGTATCACTCTAATTATAAGTTCAGTGTTGAAAGCAGTAACACAACTGTGTTGTCTGCGTGTTAGCCAGTTCTCTCTAGTCCTGCTCCTAAGCGTAGTTAAACAGATTCCATCCTAAGATGAGTAAAGCCTGGAGCTGGCAGCCAGAAGAGAGTAGCGCTGGGGAAGTAATACTAATTCACCCCAGTGTTTCTCTGAGTTTAGCTGTTGAAATCACAGTAGTCTGCTGCTAGAGCCTGTTCTGTTTTCAGAGGGAGCTCCAGGTTAAAGCACACCTTGCCTGGCTCTGTACATCTCGTGTCTGTGGACGCAGAGTCCTCCTTACCCACACAGCAACAGAGCCATATACCAGATGTCCACGGAGTCCCTGTGATGTCATCCCCTCTCTGTGGTGTTCTTAGTAAAAGTTTCAAAGCTATCTGGGGCGTTTGTAACTATTAACTCTGTTACTCCATCATTAGTCTCAAAACTTGACTACATTACTCTAGCCGTAGATTAAAATTTTTGAAATTTGTTCCTCTGTAGTGTTATTTCCTTTTCAGACTAGCCTTATTTTAAATAGTGAATTAATTACTTTAATGTAGGGATTAAAACCATCAATTCAAATATTAGAAATGATTTGAAGACAGTGTCGATCTGCTTGCTGCAAAAGCAAACACAAATCTAAATTTTTAACAGACCTAGTATTTAATTTCCTTTTAAAGTTATTGTGTCCCAATTTGTCACTTTACTAGAAAAAGCTTACACACAGAGTCCAAGAGTAAAATTGAACAGTTGAAGTAAAAAGTATATTTTATATTTGCTGTTTTATTCATTCACAAAGCTACTTTGTTGAGTATTCCTCTCAACATGTCATGTCCATGTCAGGGTAGAGGGCAGATCATTATGATTTTTAAAATTGCACTGTGTTATTTCCTTGGAGAAAAAAAATCAAAGAATCAAAGCTAAGTTGCATATGTGTATAAAATTTAAAAAGATCTTAAAAACTTAGGTTTAAAAGCCCATCATTGCAGCACCCACGCAAGAACATGTGCTTGGACACTCTAAGGCAAGAAAACCATGTGTTTTCTTGGTCTACACAGCAAGATCCCTCTCAAAAAACAAGACAGAATATTTGATCAGAATTAGATTTTTGAGACGTTATATTACTATGTAGATCAGGCTGGTCTTGAACTCACAGAGATCCCTGTCTCTGCCTCCCGAGTGCTAGGATTAATGGTGTGTGCCACCACTGCCAGCTAGAATTAGATTTTAAAACTAAATGATGTCTTCTTTGAGTCATTTAGGTTTCAACAAATGAAACTGGTTAAATATAATTCAGTCTAAGCTAACTTTGATATGCTGAGTTTTTAGCATAATACCTTTTTCAGGACCTTTTGTAAGTTGCAACCCCATGTCTACAAGAGTAAACCACCACATACAAGTCTTTTGAGTGTACTTCATTAACTTTCCAGAGGAATGCATGCTGTAGAATTCACTCTGCTTGACCTTATTTGGTTTGAAAATCTTTAGGTCTTGTAACAAAACTGTGAATATACAGAATATACAGGGGTGGCTGCCAGAAGCGACGAAAGCTTATCTGGTTATTGCCTCCTAGCTTTCTTTACAAGAGAAACCCTTGGTTTGCATTGTGTAATGGGCCAAATATTTTCCGAGGTTCACTTCACTATTAAGATAAATACTCTAGCTAAAGATACATGAGCCTGGCAATTCAGGGTACAAATTATGAAAGCTATGGAAATCATACCTGTCACGTGACAGATACAGAAAAGGCCCTGGCAACTGTAAGGAAGTGTTTCATTTGGTTCTCTCTAAACTATGAGCTTCCAGATGAGCTTTTTCACCGTATTTTTATATGTCAGCTTATCACTTATTTCAACTGTTCTTAGACACAGGCAAATGAGAAATCAGAGTATTTTCCTCACGGTTTGATAATGCTATATCCTTTTGATCTTGCCAGTGTGAATTTTGTTGCCTGTATGAATTTTGTTACCTCTATGCCATTTGCGGCTGCCAGTTGAGCATAATACACAAAACTGATAATGAAGACTTGTGTAACTTTTTGACAGTTTCACTGTAGAGAACCATGAAAAAGGATTCCTGCTAAACAAATGTTTTCTCACAAAACAGCATGCAGAAAATATCTGGAAATATAATATTCTCTGGATTCTCTCAGGCATCCTGGGGATTTTTGCCACAGTTTTCATTGTTAATGGCCAAGAGAACAGAAGTGCTTCTCTATCGAGAGATTTCCTCTGTGCGCACTGAAGGTTTCTTTGTTGTTATGCCTGTTTGGCTTCTGATCTCAGTGTCAGTATTATCAGATACATTGCCATTGTTGACTTCTGGTTCTTCATTCCTATATTTAAATTGATGCTTCCTAAGTATTAATGGGATTGTGAGGATTAGAGTAGTCTATGACAGGCAATGGTCAGTTGAGTGGTGAGAGCTAGCTGTTCAGTCATTGGTGGGTACTGTTATTGCTCCTCTCAGCCAGCGACAGAAATCTTTATACGAAATGAGGAAATGTCTACTTCACCTAGGAGAAAGGGAAGATTTAGTATATATGGGAGATGTTCATTGTGAGCCTAGGGAATTGTCTCTGGTTAACTGTGGATGGCATACTATTCCCTCATGGATAACCTGCTTGGTCTTTCCCACTCTGTCTTCAGGTGAGCGCCCCTTCCACTGTAACCAGTGCGGAGCTTCTTTCACCCAGAAGGGCAACCTTCTGAGACACATAAAGTTACACTCTGGAGAGAAGCCGTTCAAATGTCCTTTTTGTAGCTATGCTTGTAGAAGAAGGGACGCTCTCACAGGACACCTCAGGACCCACTCCGGTAAGTGTCACCAAGCCAAAGCTGAAGTCAATAAGGTGGAACAGCATCACACTAAGTAGCATGTAGCTTTGGCCTAGAGAATCCTGTACGTTATCGGTGGCATTTGTAGGATGCACATGAGTATTCAAAGATCAACAGACATGAAAAGGACACTGCTTCTGAAGAGTGTCGCACAGATAGAACAGAAAGTTTCAGGTTTTGTGATTATCAAAGCAGTAATCATGTTTCATACTGGGTTATTGGAGCCCAGTGAAATGTTACACTTTCTGATGTTTCCAGAAGGCATGAAAGTTGTAGAGTTTCTTAACAGTCCAGTAGAACTCGGGCTTAGATCGCAGTGAGGAAATCAAATACTGTTCTTTTTAAACTTGAAAGCACTGTACTCATTAGAAAATTGACTGTTGGTGGAATTTATATTTCATTTAACTTGGCTTGTTTTGCTAGCTTTCCAACTGTACTTATTGGGAAAGAGCTGAGCATTTTATCTGCCTCATAAATGATTTAATGATCTAGAGTGTTTGATGTGCTAAGAAAGTACTAGCATAGCAATACATAAATGAGGAATAATAACCAGAAATCTGAATGACTCTCTATGATTCGAGCATGAACTGCTATTGCTGAGGAGTTAAGGGTAGAATATTATAATAAGATACTTTCAGAGCAGTTGGATATGCCTTGTTTATCATGGCATGTTAAGTTTTCGTGTCAATGTGGAGATCTGAGAAAGCAACATGCTCATGCACATTGAAAGACTGTAACCCAGACAACTGTGGCATGTGACGGGGTGCATGCGCATATTAGCCTTCTTTACACCCTCTTGATATCTTTAAGGCTGAACTTCACTTTCTAATATGCTATGTATTATAGAAAGCAATTTTAAACATTAACTATTAAATTTGGGACAATTATAAAAGTTAAATTAACATGTATATGAAAATAAAATATTCTAAGACAATATTTACTTTCCTTACTCAGAAATAATTCATTTATTTACATCTCATGTATGTTTTGAAAATTATGCCACTCTATTTATCAATTATAGTGGCATTATTTTATTATAAAAAGTATTATAAGTTGAAAGATATTTTTAAGAGATGCAGGTATTTCCATCAGCTACCTATATGTTCTAACTCATTGAAGTGCCACGGAACTAAGGACTATGTATCTCATAAGAGTTTATGGATATGACTTTTTGCCTCACCTTCATAAGTAATTGTAAACATCTTAACCTCTTTGTTCTCGGATTCATGTGTTCTTTTTGTGGGAAGGATATCTTTAGCCATTTGCTGTATCTACAGAACACCCTAAACCTTGCCTTGATGGCAGCCACACAGGAAGCCTTCCAGTGGTAGACCATTTGACCTAGCTCCCCTTAGCCAGCTGAAAATGGCTGATGGAACATAACAAATGTGGAGGAAGTCTGTAGGTTTGAGTTTGCTGTATTTCTTTCCATTAAATGAGCTTCTTGTTGAAGGCAGTGTGTGACAAGGGATATCACAGTAAGTGCTAAGGTGTTCTGTTAAATCCACTCAGGAAGCAGCCTAGGAAGGAATGGTAAATCCTCCTTAAACATCTTTCAGTTTCTATGAGGATCAATTTATCTGTTTTCCATGTTATATGAAGTCCAGTATAACCTCCCTGGCTCCACTTGCTGGTTGATCACTTGGGGAGTAACAGGGGCTCAGAACTGAAAAATTCTGAGCCCAGCAATGGTAGTAGTGATGGGTAGGGAGCACATGTAACTGAGCTAACAGTATCTTTGAGTCTATTATCATTTGAACATGGGTCCATGAGCAGACACCAGGGTGGTAAGGTAAGCACGTTGACTGATGTCAGTAGATGTTTTACTCCGCCCAAATTACGAAGAGCCTTCTCCATAGTGGATTCCGTGAAGAAAAAATTAATGTAAGATACTGTGTCATCGTCTTCTGTATCAGTTCTGAGGGGTACATCTGAATAACTCTCTCTAGACCCCCTATCATCAGTCTTTTGTTTTGCTGGCCATATGGCCATGCCATGTGTCATTTCCTCAGGCTGTCTCTTCTGCCATGCACAGTATGGCTTGGTGAAATCCGGGCTGCTGAGGAATCTCTTTTCCACTCTGTCAAGGCTAGCTTCTCTAAAGTGGTCTTGAAGACACACTTGTCATAGCTAGCATCAAGTGTTATGCAGTTCATTTGCAAACTAGACCCACCACAATTCTTCTCTATCAGCTGCTCATTGATAACACACCACAAGGTGATTGGTGTAGGATGGAGAAGATTGTGTAGTACCAGTTATTATGGACATCTGAACCCCTTGCTCATGAAGCATGTTTGGGGTCTCCAACTGTTTGGTCCAAGTTCATTCAACAGTGAAATGCTATTATATCCCCCTTATGTTATATGATTTTCAGACAATACCTAGTTTATAAAGTGTGGTTTGGGTTAGCATAATAAGCATCTACTAGTGAATTAAGGGCAGCTTTTTAAATCGAGATTAGCTATTAGTTCAAATCTTTGTGACAGAATCATTAGAGCTTGGCACTCTGAGCTCTGCCTGACAAAAATGTCACCTAGCACCTCTTTGCCATCTATTTTTCCAGAAATAATTGTGGTTGCTGGACCTTTAAAAGCCAGAGCTGGGTGATTTTTCACCATGGGTGTATATTTCAGCCCCGTTTCCCCCAGACTCCTCTCAGAACTCAAGTCTAGATTACTTAGGGCATATGTCGAAGCAACTATGTGGCCTCTGCTGCTTCCAAAATTCAAAGGCCAAGTTTTGTGAGGTTGCAAGTTACAGAAACTTACCACAAGGTGTGGAAGATGTGTTTCAGCAAGCCCAACCCCTGGGTTTATAATATTTCACCAGAGAAGAATGTCCGTGGACTCTAGTGGGACTTTATCCACTGTCCTCTAGCGTTTGTCTTAGGATGCATCCTGTCCACTGTCCTCTAGCGTATGTCTTAGGATGCATCTTGGACGCCTGATGCTTCCTGGTCACCAAATCCAGCTGCTGCTTTGTCACACGCAGCCCAGCTTGTCTCATGTAGGTGACGATAACGGTTTCTCCAGACTTTATTATTGTGAGGAAAGGGAAGCATGTAAAGTATGTTCTCCCTGCAGTGAGAAGGCACACTGCTTCCGATTAGGTGACAGGAGCTGTTTCACAAAGAAATCCTGGTAGCTGCGTGAGTGGAGTGGAGTGGAGTGGAGTGGAGTGGAGTGGAGTGGAGTAGGGTGGAGTGGAGTGGCTGTGATAACGAGTTTAGCGTGAATGGCACTAGATTTTGATGTTACAGTAAGATCAACTCTATATTCATCCACAGACCCGGCTATACAGCGGTTTGCTCTAATAAACAATTTACTGGGCATATAGCGTGATCCCCTACTCCTACTCTGTTCATTTTCTGATAGTGTCACTAACATCTTAATCCTCCCGTAGATGTAGCGTGTCTTCTCTGTCATTGCTCCATGAAGAAGAACTAGTCTGGGTGTTGCTCCTCTTTTCCAGCAGGGCAGTTCCACGGCCCCTCAAGTCTGCCTTTCGGATTGGTCTTTGGCCTTATTTGCTCTAGGATTAGCTAAACAAGGGCCCCTTAAAGCAGATAAACTCTCTGAGACCCCACCTTTGTCTTACTGGAGCCTTTAAGACTTTCCTTTGTCCTTTCATTTTGTGTGTCCCTTCAGCCATTAAAACTCCTAGTCACAAGGGAAGCTTTACTCTCTCTTCCATGACGGTGCCTGGAGTACCATAGAGATGCCACAGCTTTCCAGTCCTTCCCCTGTGCCACACTTCATCCGTGCTGCTGGCAGTGACAACACCTTACTAACGAGTGGCCCACCAAGGTCCAGCTCTTGGTGACTCTTCTCAAGCCTTGGCAACAAAATCGAATTCTGTTTAGACTGACTGGACAGCCTTAGGCCGTTCTTCTACCCATAACTTTTGCTGCTCTAAGGATCCTAATGGTAAAACAAGGTAACACTCAATGGGGACCGATAAAGGGCAGGTGTTTACTAGAGCATGGTTAGGCATGGAAACCAGAAGAGAGCTGTTTTGAAGCTAGCTTTTTCTGGTGCTCTGCCCACTAGTCTGAAAGGCAAGGGAACAAGGAGTCACTGGAAAAAGTAGCAAGGACTTGAGTGCTGACCTTAGTGGACCTGTGACATCAACATACAGACTCTTCACCTTCCTGTGTCCTTCTGGTGCCTCACCGTGACTAGGTGTCACCGGAAGTGAGGAGAGGGGAGCATACAGAAGCAATAGAAATTAGCGTTCTGTAGGAGCAGCATGGAGGAAGAAGCTAAGAAAATGGTCATGGATGCCAAACCGTTTAACTAGCATTTAAGAATTTAACTAGTGACTTTTCATCAAAGTCTGCTTTTAAGGATATTGTTTTTGATAGGAAGACTTTGTTGCCCTTCTCTCTGGTGCCAACCGTCATTGTTCTGCTGTATTTAATAATCATATCAGATATTAGTACCCCGTATCTGCTTCCTGTGTTGTATACTTGAAACTTTTCTGTGTTGACTATTGTGAGTAGTTGGTAGCGATAGGCCAGCATTAGGGAGCCTTATATATTCCTGCCACAAATATTCTAGGTTAAGAAAGCAAGCATTTAAAAAGATGTCTGGAATGCTTGGAGTAGTACTACTATCAATACACGGATATATAAATGTCTTCTATGATTACTGTATAAGGTGGGTACTTGTCAATGTAGGACTCGGGTCGGCTAAAGGATACAGATCGGCTGTGGGTTAGTTGCATCGGCCCAGCAGTGAGAACTTGCAGGTAGTACCTAGCATTGGTGAGCTGTCACACTGCACAGCATAGTACGAGGTCCTTTCTATGGATTACGTAATTAGTGCAAACTCTGCTTTCTCACAGCAGCAAAAGGAGGTACTCACATCAGCAAGTCTAGTAACAGAAAATGTTTTTAATGAGAAAGTTTTTGCATTAAAACATAAGTGTTTCACGTGTGTTTAACGATGTGTCATTAAGTGTAAAGACAGACCCCTTTT